AAAAAAATGATTGCGCTAGCTCACGTGGTTGCAGTGCTACCGGATTTAAAAATAGTTACGCAAAACGGGGCGTGGCCGCTCCGACCGGCTTTAAAGGGTTAACCATTTAGATCAGCTGTGCTGGATCAAGGACACATCTAAAACCTGCAGGACACCGGGCACCGAGTTGGACACCCCTGCCTTAAGTCAACTAACTTAGCTTCCAACAATCCAGAGCTTTGCTGATATTTTGTTTTTCAAAATCTTCATTTTCTTTTTTTTCCACTTTTGCTAATGAAAGCATTAAAATATAAATGTGATTTTATGTGAAAACATAAACCCGCAGAAATCAGAAGATGAATTTATCGTGTGTCACAACCTCGGTATGATCCAAGCCAGCGTACTCATACTTGTGTATTAGACACTGCAGAAGCAGACGTGTTTGCCACCTTTTAAATCCTTCAAACATGTCCTGTAATTATGCATGGAGATGATTTAAGAGGTACATAACTGATAATAAAATACAACAGACGCAACAGACGAGACAGAAACTGAAAACACCGGTCCACAGTTATCTTTCTCCTCACTCAGCCCTCATCTCTGCAAACCAAACATCTCATATCGGATTAACTGTTTGAGCAGCGGTCGTAAACTGTAAAAGGGAACCACTCGCAGCTACTAACAAACAACCACAAACCAGGACGACAGCTGCAGATCAGTGCAGCTAAAACCAGGAAAAACCACAAACGTCAAGTCACAAACCAAAAAGAAGATCAGTAGCAGCAGAGATTTTTCTTTAAAAAAGAGAGAGAGATGTTTTATTCCTCCTGTGTTTTTACCTAAAACTGGTTTAGATCACTTGAAAAAACATCAACAGCAATAACTAATAGATAACAAAGGGTGGCTGGATGAGGGAGAAAAACGTCACGGCCGCGGTGGGGTATTTATTTGGAGGCTGTGGCCTTTTTATCCTCTGTGCTGACAGCGAGGAGGACAAAGAGCCTGTTGAGGAGTCTAAACAGAAGCCTGATTCTGTGATGCACAGAGCTGCAGCCTTGTTGTGTCCAGCTTGGCAGAGCTCACGAGCTTGCCTCACTGGTGACGGCAACCAAAACAACTGAAACGACTAGAAGACTCTTTACTTTACATCTAGTCTAGCAGAATTATGACCTACTGTGGGCAGCAGTAGAGAAATCCAAAGACTGGTCGGCTGAATAAACTTTCCATTTACTGCACTTTGCTCTACAATTATTGTCCAGCAGTGCCTTAAAGTGCTAAGTGCTTAGGAGCGCATACTAATGGGATTTTCAGTAAGGACAGACGTTGATGCACATGAGATAGTATTTACTTGTATTTATCTGTTTCCTACAGTTTGGAATGATACTGAAGACAATAAAACTATAAAAAATACAGATTCAACTGTTGCCTCTGTTCGCCTCGCACACATTTTGCAACATGTAACTGAGATCTTCACCCAGGATTAATATAGTCTGTATTTGACATTAATTTTCATGTTCAAAAAACCCCAAAGGCTTGATGCTTTGACAATTCTTTTCAGTTAACCCTTTAAGACCTACCATAGAACCAAGTCCACCAGAGCTTATATTATATTTTTACATGCTGTGGAGCCATTTTTGGGAGCATTTCAAGTTGCTATACATCAATACAACCATTATAGCCCAGATTTTAATAATATGTCTGTATTAAGTGCATAGTAATTACATAAATTGCAAAAAAGTGGAATAAACTACCAAAAAATTGAAAATTGTTTTTGCTTTTTTAACATATATTTCTAGTTAGAGAAATTTAAGAGGCTTATCCCTCAAAACTGTAAATACAAAAAAGTTGCACAAAATAGTTTCCCACCACAGGAAATTTATTATTTGTGTCTTCATAGTTTTATTTTTGAAATACACCAATTTTTATACACTGCAGGAAAAACGAAAATAAATATTATAGTGCAAATTTGCAAAAAGAAACAGCATATGCATCAAAATAAACTATTTCCAGCAGTGCAATATGAGTCCTAAGCATCCCAGAAACGACACAGAAAGTCATAAAGTCAAAGATAACTTTTAAAAACACCAGTATAGGCTCATGAGGCCCTGATGGTAAAACAACTACATTTCCGCAAAAATGACGTCACTTCCGGTTTCAGGCAGGTCATGGCGGACATGTGATAGTTCGTGCTGACCTCTAATCCAATGTAGGAAGTGTTATGAACAGCTGATCGGATCGGCAAAGCGCGTTTCTGGAATATTATGTTTTTGTTGCTGCAAGCGCTTTTTATGCAGTTTTTGCAAAGCTTTATGTGGAAGGAAACTGTGACCGAGGACAAGCTGATGGCATAAGATGTAAGTACAACTCCTTCGGTTTCATATGCAAAAAAAAATGATTGTGCTAGCTTACGTGGTTGCAGAGCTACCGGGATTTAAAAATAGTTACGCAAAACAGAGCGTGCTCGCTCCTACCGGTTTTAAAGGGTTAAGGACAAAGTATTGTACACGTATAGAGAGATAGATTATATAGAAGTTATATGAAAATTGCTTTGATGTTAAAAATAAATCTTTGATAACTCATAGGCCGCATTGTACCGACACAAAGGCTTTGATCAATTCAAAGTGTATTCGTCTTTTTATTCGCTTGCTCTCAGTCCAGTTTAAATAGACCTTCAATGCTCTGTCGGTTTCCAAATATATCCCTTTGTTATTAACCTATGTTATAAATGTACTCACAGTTTACCAGATGTTGTAATGAAATGAATATTTAATAATCAGACTGGCTCATTTTCTGTCAACATCTTTCAGTAATGCTTTTGAAACACAGGATTTCACCGCTGCTGATGTTTTAAAAACCATGTTTGTGGAAACCTTTTTTCAGTTTCGTGTATCTGCTGCTGAAATCTGGGCTTCATTTCTATGTTTTGACTGATTCTTATCCCTCCAGGACCAACAGCAGTTGCATTAATGTAAAGTCAACATTAGTGGATTACAACCAATGAATGGGACATAGCTGGTAGCAGAACATTTTACATCCTTTATCTAAAAAGGTCACCTTCAAACTCACTGTACTGTAAGAGTAAACTCTGTCTAATCTCATTACATCTCACTGAACACTGAGTAACTTCAAGGTTTGACCCTTTAAAATCTAGTTGTTGTGATGTCCCTGTAATACCCACCACACAGCTAAACAGGGACAGAGTCAAAGGAGGCCAGCGAGGATAAAATCAAACTGGAACCCTCAATAAAACACTGCGCCACTCCTTTATTTATTCATTTACACTAACAACTCACTCCTGCACTTTAGTCACTCTGAACATCCTGTTGGATAACTCCCTGCTATCGCCTGAAGTCAGCGACTTGGTATTTGCTCTAACGTAAAACAGAAAAAAGACACGCCAAGTGAAAACAAGGTCAACTTAATAAGTATGACCTCTGTCATAGTTTCATTTTCAGTTACAATCTGTCTGGGTACCATTTGAGACCATATTTAGTGTTTTAAATATAATACACTCTCCTCTTTAGGCTGATGCAGTTTGCACTGAGAACAAACAGCTACGGCCCTCTGTAGAGAGCCTGTGTTAATACTGTTATAGCAATATATTTTATATACGGGGGTTAACCCTTTAAGACCTACCATAGAACCAAGTCCACCAGAGCTTATATTATATTTTTACATGCTGTAGAGTCATTTTTGGTGCATAGTGATTACATAAATTGCAAAAAAAGTGCAATAAACTACAAAAAAAATGAAAATCGTTTTTGTTTTTTTAACATATATTTCTAGTTAGAGAAATTTAAGAGGCTTATCCCTCAAAACTGTAAATACAAAAAAGTTGCACAAAATAGTTTCCCACCACAAGAAATTTATTTTGAGTGTCTTCATAGTTTTATTTTTGAAATACACCAATTTTTATACACTGCAGGAAAAACGAAAATAAATATTATAGTGCAAATTTGCAAAAAAGCAGCATATGTATCAAAATAAACTATTTCCAGCAGTGCAATATGAGTCCTAAGCATCCCAGAAACGACACAGAAAGTCATAAAGTCAAAGATAACTTTTAAAAAACACCAGTATAGGCTCATGAGGCTATATGGTAAAAAACTACATTTCTGCAAAATGACGTCACTTCCGGTTTCGGGCAGGTCATGGCGGACGTGCTGACGTCTATTCCAACGTAGTGTTATGAACAGCTGATCGGATCGGCAAAGCGTGTTTCTGGAATATTATGTTTTTGTTGCTGCAAGTGCTTTTTATGCAGTTTTTGCAAAGCTATATGTGGAAGGAAACCGTGACCGAGGACAAGCTGATGGCATAAGATGTAAGTACAACTCCTCCGGTTTCATATGCAAAAAAAATTATTGCGCTAGCTCACGTGGTTGCAGAGCTACCAGGATCTAAAAATAGTTACGCAAAACAGAGCGTGCCCGCTCCGACCAGTTTTAAAGGGTTAAAACAGCTTTCTTAATTGATTGAAATTAAACTAGTACAGAGGACCAAACAAACTGCAGCTCATCTAAAATCAACTTGAGGCTAGTTCCACAAAGTGAGTCACCATTACCACTGGCTCCTTTGTTAAAAGTCCTGAAGTTAGTGGTGAAATCTAAATTTTACAGGTGATTTCACTCTCTGCTAGCCAAGCTTGCTGCCTTTAGCTGAGCCACAGTGTTAGCCAAAACGCTAACAATGACATCCAGCAACCACAAAGGCCATGTCCACCTTTTATGCAGAGTCTATTACTACAAATGCCATTTTCTTGCCATATTGTCTGTATTGTTGCATCAGAATCCCTCCAGGGTGGATCAAGCGACACGCAAACAATAATATTTCATCTGTTCAACATTTTTCTGTGACAGGTTTATAAACGGTGTTTTACCTGTTGGAGCATTTCTTCAGTGGAGGCCAGTTTCTGGCGGTGTTCCTCCAAAGAACTTTCTAGGTCTCTGATCTTCTCTCCCTGAGCCTCCACCTGGTCGGTCAGAACGCTCACCTGGTGGGTGACACAGTCATACTGTATTACACCGTCCTCAGAGAGCGCTGGCTGATCACATGCTTAAGATAAGGAAAAAATAGATAGAAATATGCAGGAGTTTTAGTGTGTAAACATTGTTTCTGCTACACTGGATACTGGATTTTAGTCACTGATACAAGTTTTTATGGGAGATAGAACTTTGTTACATTACTCCTAATACTATAGTACTATATAATATGCTATATATACTATATAACAGTACTAATACCTGTGATCAGTTTGAGTTTACCCTACATATTCAAAAGTCCACAGCTTTTGGTTTATGTTTGTGTCTTTATGTCTTTTTCTTCTTTCAATCCACATAAAAGAACACATCATCACATACTTCAACTCCAAACCAACACACACACATTTACTCAGCAGTCTGTCACCTAGGAATGTATTGCACACTTACTATAATCTCTCTGACAACCCATTCACCTCCTGCCAAACGTGCACCCACACACACACTCAAAGATCCCTCCTGTTCACCTAAACGATGCCAAATCCATCTGACAGCAGCTGACTCTCTGTCACTTCAGTTTCTCTGATTTTTACCCCTGCAGCCACGTCCTGTCGCACATTGCTCTGGCACAAAAGAATATTTGTCAAGTTTTTGGCTTGACACTTGTAACCGCTAACAGAACATGAACATGTGTTATTACAGAGGGACTGGTCTGCTAAACCTGCCCTCCCCTAGCACTGATGAACCATGAACAAGTGAGTAAATGAATGAACAAGTATCTGAATGAGTCACGTCTAAGAGCCTTGTGTTAGGTTTCGCACCAAAAACATGGATACCACTAACACTTCACAAACATGACACAAACTTAAAGTAAGTAAAAGTAAAGAAACAACACGGCGTGATCTTGATATGACTGTATAAACTCCAAACGCTAAAGAGAAAGTTAAAAATACTCCTTACCTCCTTCCTCTGAGCCACACACACACAAACAGAGGTGAATGCTCTCGACAAAGCTAGAAGGAAGTTAGTTACTAACCACAGAGTGCGTCTATACTAGCACACGCTGAAGCAAGACAAAGCTTCACATAAGGAGTCTTAAAGTAGAGGCAGGTGAAAAGGCAGGAAGGCACTACGGACGGGCAAACTGTCCACAGCCAATTAAATCTCCAGTCAGTAAAAACAAGCCCCGGTTCACTTGGATATCAACCAATCACGGGCAGTGTCAGTTGAGGAATGTGTAAGAAGTAGGTGTGCGGGTGGTGGTGGTAACGAACGAGATGTGGACTTTGCGACAATTTTGCAAACCGGGGTTGTCCAGACGGGTGGTGCACTTATCGTCAAAAAGAAAAATCATCCGCTCGCGTGGGCTTCCCCAGAGCATAAAACAAACATACACAGAGACACAGAGAGCATAAAGGGGCAGATCCAAAACGACAAATTAACTAGGAGGAATGTAAAGAGAGACTGTGGAAATCACAGCTGCGTGAACTGGCTATTAAAGAGTTTTGACAGCACAGAGCACCTCCTGACATCATATAGTTAGATGACATATAATCATCTTTACTGCAGTCGACTAGGCGCTGGCGGTTACTGCACGAGTCGTATGTAAACACCCTCGCATGCTTTCGAAGGTGTCCGGACATGTTTTGTTATGAAATAACACGAAATATCTGAACTCACAGGATTACAGATTAAAGGACAAGATGTTTTTTTCAGCGTGCAACAAATCCTGCCAGACAGTCTCCTGGCTCATTTATGGCAGGGATCAAAAAGTTAGATGTAGTTGTGCATGCCAAAATAATTACAACCACATCTGAACAAGCAAACTGGGACAGCAAAGAAAAAGTACACTCTGAAAATGTGATATGAAAGCACACAGGCAGCATAGGCACAGTACATACTGTATGTGTCTTTGTATTAAATGTCTATAACTTAGATAGATAAGAAATATCTGACCTGTAGCACCAGAGACTCCTTGTCTCCCTCTAGGCGAAGCAGTCGTTCTTGGTAAGTTTCATTGTTGGCTGGAGAACAGAGGTTCACCTGGACAAACGCACACAGAAGAAACACACAAAGTTCATGAAGAGGTTAAGGATGAAAGATAAGGGACGGCCTATTTTTATCTTCAAGCACTGAAGCAGAGAGGCACATCCTCTGTCCCTAAATCAGCAAAACTGCAGTCTTGTTTACACCAAAGACTGTATAGAAAAAATGAAGGTAGCCAAGGTGACCGTTTCCAAGGTTCTGTTAGCGGATTTTAGTCAGTGGCTTTTTTGGTGTGCAAACTTGTTAGCCTGCAACAAAAGCTTCCTAATGAGTGTTTATTTGTC